CAATCACTATTCTTCAAAATGTTCCCTCGAAGCAAGTCGTCAATATTACACCAGTGGTTCAGTAGTTACTCGTTGAATGTTATACCTGAAGATCGTCAAATTGATATCTCTTACGGTATATCACCTTTACTTTCATTCATTTTAGTGGCCTCTTATCGTGAATTTACTTCTTGCTTCCCATCCGAATATCTATGTGAAGTGTTAACGTTTCGAATGTGTTCAGTTAAACACGCATTCCGATTGTATCCACAAGGAAAACCATCAAAAGTGACTAACTCGTGAATACGTTTGCAGAGCTCGTAGAAATGAAACTTTTGATTTGGACTTTATTACTTGAATGGAGTTGGTGAAAAAAAATTCTGAAAAAATAACCCACAACTCTGTGTCTTTTAACTTACTGTGAGAATTATTTTGTTTATGGTCACTGCTGCGTTGTTAGTTGCTCATTATAGTTGGAGCAAATCACAACCTTGCTAGATTCCGATCTTGGTCTCATTTTAATGTTAATTCTTGTTGACTCGGAGCATGTAAGTATGGCTTGACTGGAGATTGCGCGGCATTTATATGATCGTTCACGCGATGATCATTTGCGTAACGAAGTGAAGTGTTGAACGAGCTCATTGAGATATCCGTTTTTAAAAGGTACATTGTCTGTGGCGGTCAGCATGAAATTTGTGTTCAGCATCTGTTGTCTTCTACAAAAAGAGAAGAAAGATTCATCCAGGATGAGATAAGATTTCCAGAAATGATTCCCCAAAGAACCGTCCAACAAACTTGTCTGTTTCTATCAAACAGAGGAAGTGATTAGTTGAAATTGCTCTCATTGACAACTGATTTTCAAAATGAACCTGTTAGGTGCATTTTGCACACTTGCAGCGCATTTTTTTGTATTGTCTGCAAAATACCAATTGTACGTATGCAGTTGAAATTGAGAGGTATTGACACATGAAGGTTCAGCCGTAATTATCGCTGATTCGTCTGCACAGAATCGTGAAGTTTCTTGATGATGATGGTGACGGTAAAAGGCTGAAACTTGTTTCGCACAATTCATTTCTTAGAAGCTGACGAAGCAAGTACTTATTTGCGACGGAATATTTCAGCAGATTTGTTGTGCGAATGAATCATCAGCGAAAATAACTTAAGATTAACTGAGTGCAAAACACTAAATTAATCATTTCTAATTGTTGTCATTTCTGGTTTCTGATTGAAGTGCTCCTGTCAATTTGATTTGTTAGGAGATTATTATGACATCGTAGGAAATCTGGAAATTGCTTCCACTCAAATGAACCTAAAATGCGGCAAATGAAGCAAGTTAATGTTTGCACTGAAAATATGATTTCTGGTACTGAATAATTTGACTAATATCAATGGTGCTTTGCAGAGACCTGCTTCGAGCCTACAGACGATGGAACCGAATCATTGGATCGTCGAGGCTGGCAGCAGAGAGCTCTCGGTCGAGCAGGCGGCCAAAATGGTTCAACGCATAACCTGATGAATGTGTCAGCAATCAATGGCTCAAATGCACTGTATCAAGTGAGTGTTATTGTCTCTTTCAGTGCCAACGACGGTCATTGAAAATAATGGAACGGTTGGTGGCAATAAACCAAACCGCACGTTCAGAATGGCCGATCGGGTTCGAACAAAAAATTGCATTTGAATTTGAGTGAGTGACCAATTTTTGAGAAGGAATTTTTCTGACAAAAATGATCATGGGTGGTATCTTGCGACATATCGGCTACTCACCGGTCATTGTTTACTCATTGTTTCAGCATCCAGAACATTATTTGCAATACAATCTCTTATCCGTTTCTGTTATTGAATACGATCTTACGCCTTATAAACTTAAGCGCACGGACTGTCTGAATATAAGAACCAATCAGAAATTTTTTACTGCATTTTCATACCACTGCGTATGGCTGCGCAAAATGAATGCAACGGCTCGTCTCATTAGAGCAAATAATAGGCAGATGATGCATGGATCATCCAGGGACTGTCCACTTGCAAAACGGGAAAGAAAGATAGTCTTTCCGCATACCGTGTCCATCGAATTCCATTGCACGTAGTAACGACGACTGGTGTTAATTGTTTGGAATGTGCCGATAAAATAGAATTTATTCGTTCTACGTTGTGATCAAGTGGTTGGGGTCGAATTCGTTCAAAAAAATGTCGCACGCGTAGTTGGGATTGAATGTGAATCAACCAAGAAAACATTCCCTAGTTCAAAGAGCTCATTAGATCGATTCTTTTCTAAAGCACGTCAAACAATCAACAATCCGATAAAAGTCACAGTCACAT